CAGACATCTGACGAAGTGAGTATTCACCCACGAAAGTTTATGCTCCAATACGTCTGTTAGTCTATACGGTGCCACAGGACTCTTTGTTGCCTTTTACAGATCCAGACTAACACGACTTCCCTCTGATGAGGACATAAAGTATCTAATAGAGAAACTGTACCATGGTACATTTAGCTGCGTGAGGGTCAATGGCTGTATTAGAGACTGATTTTCAATAGAATCGGTGTATGACAGGGATGTGTTCTCTCACCTGCATTATTATTTAATGTTCTAATAGACTATCTGATTGAGGACAATATAGGAGGTGTGAAACTTAGATTCATTTTTTGAGGATCTCAAGTGTATGGATGATATTGCCTTACCTGGTATTGACCAACTACAGCTAATGCTGGAAGAACTGCAAAAAATTGCAGAATCTATGGGACTTCAGATTAATGGTTATAAAGCCAAAGCCATGCATGCCTCCTGTAAAATGGAAACAAATGACCTGCCAGTGCTGCAAGTAATGTTAATGACACTGAATAGGTGAATAGTTTTATCCATTTGGGTAGTCAGTTGACAGCAGGAGGTGCTGTATCCAAAGAAGTCATATGTTAGATTGGTTTTGCATTAATGGCATTTCACCATCTTCAGAGCCCTCTATTTGGGCAGCAGGATATGTGTGTTACAATTAAGAGGGTTCAATGCAGTAGTGATGATAACTCTGTTATCTGTATGGAGGAGAAACATGGCCATTAAAAACAACTGAGAAGAGAATACTAGATAGTTTTTAGTGTCAAAAGTTACAGCATATTCTTAAAATCCATTAGTTTGACTTTTGCCATAGACTAGATGATCCTGGCAAGTTGCAACAGTTGAGAACAAGTTGACAGAAATGGTGGGGTCGTGTCCAGTGTGAAAAAGGAGGTACACTTGTACAGAAGGTTAATAGAGCTGAGGTTGAAGAAAGCAGAGCATGAAGCCAACCATGAATGAAGTTGGAAGATACTATTTTGAGGGATTTAAGAAGCCTAAATCTTCCCATCCTGACTCTTGCTGAAGGAAGAAAACTTGCAAGGGACCATTCAAGATGGAAGTCCATTCTACATGCCACCACAGCTACATCAGAACCATGTGAATCTGCTGCTGCTTCTGCCCCACCACCCTCCTTAGTATTTTGTTCTGCTTAGCTTGGGTAGCCCCCTTACTCAGCTTGCTGCCTTCTGTTAATACCATTCTTAGGTGCTTAGCTCTCCCCATGCATTGTAGAGGGAGACTGGGTGCCTAAAATTAGGCATTGTGAAGCTGAGCCAAAATCCCCTGTAAGGGTCTAGCCCTTAGACTATAAGACACTTTCTTGTGTGAACTCATCATGAATGGTTAATGAAAGCTGAATAACTGTAATTACAACAGCATTTAATTTCCATAACTGACTTCAGCATATGTTTTATTCTAGATGCTAATAAAGTGAAACTTTAGCTCAAAAAGTCACGTTTAATTTATTGTAAATACAAATACATTGTTTCATTCAATCAGTAAAAAAAGCTATTAAAGCATTGTAAGACAGTTCAGTAAACTGGCAGAATTCACTTATTAGTTCTCTTAATCATCCAAAAATCTGTGACCGTTAGGGCTAGCACGCAGAAATCCAAAATCATTCGGAGGCCATATCTGTAAAATGAAATATGGTAAAAGTTAGTTGACCATTGATTTAAAACTCTAATTTCAATACTGTACACACCCATTTCTCCAAATGGCCCGAGGGACATCAGAAAGTTTCTGGTAACTGACCGGATAAACAGAGTGCTATTTTGTGCTTCAGTTTCACTGATGTAGAAATGTGGGGAATAAAAGGAGTAATGCTGATGTTTGCTTAATACTTTGTACTTTATAAAAGAGTAAAGTAACCCAACTTTGAGTTTATTAAAACACCAAAAATGTATTAAACTACTGTGGACAGAATTCTGAATTTTATTTTTTTTTTTAAAAACTGACTAATCACAGTCTGACATAGACATTGTCAGTTGCTGTTGCTGCTGAAACGGGATTCAGTCTCAGTAATTGCAGGTAGCGGCTCAGAACCACTATACAAATACAAAGCCATCGATTAGTGATGAGCCTAATGAGACGTTACTAGCGGGTGATTAACTAACGGCTACATGGGAGAGATGTGTGGCTTCAGATAACTAAGATTATTCGAAAAGAGAATGTGGATAAGTGGAATTATACTGTATTTCCATACTCCGTCTTGTTATATATACTTTACACTTGTCACCTTTTAATTCTTTAGTTGAGATAAGGATACCACAATAGGAAGATTTCCTTCTTACTTACCAATCTTTTTAATACCCTCCATATCTGACAGTCTTTATTATAAGGTAATATAGTAATAATAATTCTTCCTGCTGGCTGGAGCCAGAACAAAGATTGACAGCTAGCCTGGGTCCAGGACCACCCTTCTGTGGGGAACCCAGAATGATTGCTTCCAAAGCTGAAAAATATTTACTGAATATATTAGTATAAGTCACCTAACTTGGACATATGAACCTCATAACACAGCCTTAGGAAGCTTATAATCTGGGACAGTGGAGAAAAACAACTTCAGTTCTCAGACAAATGCATCCACGCTGGTTGGGCCAGAATGTCGGACACGAAGAGTATTAGAAAGAAAATTCACAGGTAAAGAGAGAGTTTTCCTTTCTCACCACATCCTACCCCCACCCTGTGTCTGACCGTCCGTATTGTGGGATGTGGAAAGCATACTCAACTTTGGGGGAGAGGGGGTGATTCAAATTGTTTACACAGGAACTTGTCTTGGGTTACTGCTGGGGCAGCACATGTTGCAGTACCCTTCTCCTGAATGCTGCATTTAAGGAAGAAGAGAAATCAACGCTGTAATGCTTCATGAACAGGTGCACGGATGTCCACATAGCTGCCTTACAGATTCCACATTAAGCACCAGACCTTTTTGCCCAACAAATTGCTGAACTCCTTGGAATAAGCTGTGAGGTTATCCGGTGGATTTGCTCCAGGTGCTCTATAAGCTTCAGTAATATATGCTTTGCTCCATCTTTCAGTAGAGGTTTTAGAGGCCTGCCTTTTAGCTGAAGAGTGATAGAAATGCTGTGGACCACCAATAAGTTTTCATGCTCTTGATTTAACGTACTCTGCTTATATTCCTTTCATCCCATTCAGTCTCCTGTTGGAATCACAAAGAATCAGTCCATCACTTGAGGGAGTATGTGACTGACCTGAGATCAGTGATTCTCAGATCCTGATTGGTTACAATTTCTTTTTGATATGGTAAGAGTAATCCTAGACATCTCCATGGTATCCAGGATCATTGCTAAATGCAGAAGTCCTTGAGATGGCTGGAAGCTCAGTGGTTTGAGCATTGGCCCGCTAAACCCAGGGTTGAGAGTTCAATCCTTGAGGGGGCCATTTAGGGATCGGGGGCAAAAAATTGGTCCTGCTAGTGAAGGCAGGGGACTGGACTCGATGATCTTTCAAGGTCCCTTCCAGTTCTATGAGATACGTATATCTCCATAATAAAAAAAAAAAAAAAAGCCTCTTCTCTATGTTTACAGAAACCCATGATCCTGTAAGTCTCCCCTGGATCCTGAAGGACAATCTGATAGGGATACATGTGTATCCTCTTTCTGACAATGGCTGCTAAGCCCACCCAAATCTTGTGGGATAACCTGTGGGGGTAGTCACTAGTCCACAGAGAGTCCTGTCCTGAACATGCTTCCCATTGTAACAGAGCACAGACATTTTCAGTGAATCTCCCTGATTGGCACATGAAGATAAGCCTCTTCAAAGTCTGCTGAAGTCATGAAATCTTGGGTGACAGAGCTGCAATGACAGACTTCAGGATTTCCATCCAAAACTTGAGAGAGCTGGTGGATTTGTTAAGAGACTTAAGATCTAAGATGGCTCTTGTGTTCCTATTCTTCTTTGGGACAGAAAAGAATAAAGTACACACCACAGAATCTGTCTTGTTGATCCTGATTCTATGGCTCAAATGCTGAGATGTTTGTTTGCTTTGTTTGGTACTTATCTGTTCTCTCTTCTGGGACAGACTATGAACTTGTCTTTGAGGAATTTGGTAAGTTCAATAGCATAACCCTGTAGAACTGTCCCTAGTATCCACCTGCCTGATGTAGGTGTCTCCTGTAAGTGGACAGACTTCTGAAATCTCCTCCTCTCCCCCCTACTCCATCCCAAGATGGGAGGTAGTGTTGGATGCTGGGCACAGAGTCAGGTAGATGATTTATAGTTTGATGCAGGTCTTCCAGAAGACCACTATTTGAAGTTTCTTGATCTATTGAAATGGTACCATCTCCCTCTTCCAAATATGAAGTGTCTGTGGATTTCTTGTGGGCTGGTAAGCATAAACCGAAAACATGTACCAAAGAAAAGTTCTATAGATCTCCTCAGGTCAATGACATGGAAAAGACTTTCTTCTCACCTGCTTCTGCTACTGTTCCCCCCCCCCCCAAGCCCATGTCCTCATCAAACATCTTGCCCCCTAAATACTTGGCTGAGATCATAAGGTGTTTTACCTGTGTGTTTGGTTTCCAGAGATGGAGCCAGAGGAGTCTTTGGGCTACCAGATTAGATGCCACGGAGCAAGCTGTGAATCTAAGGGAATTCAGAGAAGCATTTGCTACAAGAGAAGCTGCTAATCAGATCTTATTCCTATTTGCTTTCAGTTCAAACTTGCCTTCAGTTTTTTTATCTTGATCCTGTCCTTACTGGGTCATACAGTCTATCCCTGCTAAACTCACCCGTGGCTCTCCCTCTGAGGCAATTAGTGTCTTTTACTAATGCAGTGGCTGCTGCATCCACATTTGGTAGAATGACCAAGTCTTTCTTGTCCATGGGTAAAGAATAGAATCTCTATCATTTTTCTCTGTAGGATGCTTAGCTTTGCTTGGGAGCCCATTAAACCTTGACTACTACTTCAAATAATGGGGATAATGGAACACACAATTCTTTCTTTGCTTTAGTTGGAAAATAATTCTGAAATGCTTTTCTGTTTTTTTTCTGGGATTGGTGGCTCCTGGAGTGTTTCATGGAGTGAGAGTAGGATAAAACAGGTTTGCTCCAGCCGGCAATCTGGCTCAAAACCCCTCTGCCAATAGAGAGGGTTTAAAAAAAAAAATTTAAATCAGTTTTCCATGAGTTCAGATGATTTTGGTAGTCCTGTGCTGAAGGACTCTGCTACAAAGGGGAGATCCTTAGTCTGCCTTCTGCCCAGGAGTGGAGGCAAAGATGTCTGGGGTTCTCCACGGAGAGGCACTCCAGGACCTAGGGTGGCTGTTAATCTTTGTTCTGCCTTCAGCCAGCAGGGAGATGTGGAATACACCACAGTACAGACTGTCTGACATGGAAGGCAGGTGACTTTACACCAATCATGATTGCTCAGGATATGCATAATTTTTTAAAAATAAATTACAGCAACTGAGTTTTGTTCGTTCTTTTTTAAAAGTAAAGAAGAAATGTTCTCTCAATAACTACAATATGGTGTTATGCAGATTACTGTACACTGATTTATAGCTATAGCAGTGTTAGACATCTCAATAGTTTCCTAAAACATAGTGTTTTGAAGTATAAACTCACTCTTGTTTATTACACACCATATGCTTTATTCTCAGCAGAACATTAATAATCATCAGTTGGCAAAAGGCCACCTCAGACTAAAAAATATAATATTAAGTGGCAGTTCTCTAATCCTGTCACAGTGACTGGAGATTTTTCAGTAAAATGACTAACACTAGATTCTCACTAAAATAATTTAATGGGCTCACTAGCTACATATAAATTTTACGTGGGCGATGCACTAACTAGCTTTGTAATTTTGCAGGTTTGGGTCAAACTTTAGGCCACAACCACTACCCAACTTATCCTTGTGGTTATTTGTCAATATCACAAAATCACTACACTGTTTAGAATAATCATTGTTCTGTGCTCTAGAAATGCATGTTAAGACAAACATTCAGGGATGGAACAGCTAGAACTTGTAATGTGCCAGGGAGACACTGATGGCAAATGTTTTAATAACCCATAAAGAACAGAGGTCAAACAAAGCTGAGGGGAAAATGTTATTTCAGGTTTAGTAAGCAATTACTGATTATGGTCAGTAGTTGCAAGGTTTTCTGAAAAGTGAAAATGCACTCCTACAATTCTAAGCTGCATTAATACACACAATATTTTTTAACAAGAGTTGAGTCTTTTCTGAGCACATATGCCAGTTGTGCTGAATTACAGTATGTGGTGGTTTTGTGGTATGTGGCAAATAGTGACCAGCAACCTTTCACTTTGTCCACAGCAGGATTTAAACCTAGTTTTCTAAAGCCTACTGCATGAACCCACTGAATTGTACCAACTTGCTTCCTATAGTAATTGTTTAGAAAGAGAAATTAATCCTAGTTCCTTATTTTTATAAGTGATTAAATACAGTTGTACACACTGATTCATAATGCAGACAGAAATAATATGAAAATATAATAGGAAATAGGGTTATAGAAATATAGGTTATATAAACAGTAAAAGTAAGCTTACATGGTTTATTGTGTAACAAAACATTTAACAAGAGACTTGATTCATATCTAGCAGTGAAGGGCAGATAATTATGGTGGATCTGTCATGAGTTAAAGTTGGTTCAGAGATTTCAGTTTAACAATTATTAAGAATGGTGTAGGCAAGTCAGTGGGTCTAGAGTTAGGGTCCTAAAGTAACTAGGCCTAGAAAAGACAACCTCCCCCCCAGTCACTGTTCTTTGCAATATGGAACTATGTCTCAAATGATATTTTGTTTAAAATTATATAAAATAGCTAAACACAAAATGATACTGTTTCATCATTTTGGAAATATGATTACAAAAAATGCAAGGTGGGGATGGATTGTATTCCACATATATGGAATGGGTATAGATTCATTTGCCAAACTGTTGACACAGCCTTAATGATGGTGATCATTTGAGGTGTGCATTTTCAAGTGAAACTATTTGTCTCCGTCCCAAAAATATGGAGAGACTTTTCTTGAAACAATCTAAAAAGTCCAAGTTGTTCTGATATTCATCCCCATTTAGTTCAGTGATGTTGCTAAGGATGGGAGTAGACTTTTGCTTTTATATCTTTTTTAAAAATGTTTGAAGTAACTGGTTTTAGATCCTATAGGTATACCTTGAAGCAAATACGTCCTCTTATCAGTCCATAAGGAACAGGTCCATAACACCTGGAATCTGTAGAATTCCTGAGATTATCTCCTTCTAACCAAACATGCCCTTTAGGCACCTACAGTTAGGGAAGATCAAAATACAAGTTAGACAATGCAGAATAAGAATGTGTTTCTTTAAAGGAAATTCAATCCCCCAAGATATAACCTGTAAAGTGAACCCTTTGGTGTTTTTTTTGTCATGCCATGAATTAATACTTCTAAGGTCTCTAAAACAGTGCTAGATTAGAAAAAAATTTTTTTTCCCAAGTATCTGTTCTATCACATGCTCCAGAAACACTAGTTTGCAACAAAAAATCCAAAATGAAGATGCAAGAGGTTAGACCAGTATGACAGGGTCATTAATTTAATAGACTTCAAAAGAGGTCATTAGGATGTTGACTGAAAATCTGCCCTCCTGTCGCAGTAACAGCATGAACAGGGCAGCCACACACTCATCAACATCCTGGGGCCAGCACCAAGGCTAGACCTGTTAGTAGGCTCATGATGATCTAAATGGTAATTGATTGTGACATCAATTACGAATAATCTCATCATTTTATCGGAGTGGGCTTGTCAAAGTTCTAATTAAGATCACAGTTCATTCTATGTGCAGGCAGGATCCACAGCACATTATATTGCAATAATGACCATCACAAAACAGCAAGTCTCTCTTTACAATTTGAAAATTAATGATGGTGACCTTATACTATATGACAAAGACCTTTTATTGCCTATATGTACTATGCATTAACTATATTACATGCTGTAAATTCAGGACCTGACTAACTCAATGAAAACATGAGAAATAGAAACACAGTTGCATTCAGGGGTGCTGAAACAATGTTTATAGTTGGGGTGCTGAGAGCCACTGAACCAAACTGTAAACCCTGTACATAATGGAAACCACTTCAAGCCAAGGTGTGTGCTGCAGCACCCCCAGCACTCCTAGTTCCAGCACCTACGGTTGCATTAGTAACCAAAATAACACAGTTCAGAGCTGCGTACATTTAACCAGCATGAAAGAATTGATTCAAAATATATAGCATGCAATGACTACGATTCATGCTTGTAAGACAAAATAGTATCACTGAACATTTCACAACTTCAGATAAGGATAGGCTCTTATAAGCAAAATAATTCTTAAATATTATATTTGATAGTTTATATGCCTAAGAATATAGGCTAGACTTAAATACTAGTAATACTTCCTACCAGCCACTACAGAAAATTCCTGCTACCCAACCAGTCTTGACTTTGAGAGGGGATCCACTTTAACTGCTAAAAAATGAATGTATGAATACACTTGATTAAAAAGAAAAAAGACCATAGTGAGATCCAATGAAATATGCCAATGGGCAGAAAATATCACCAAAACAGCAAAGAAAAGCATAAAAGGATTTTACTGATGGGTAGACAGAACGGAAGTAACTAACTAATGAAGGTGGAAGTCAGTAAAAGACAATCAAATGTCTAAAGTCCAACTGATCTGTGTAGGACATCCATCTCCGCATAAATGCATGGAGTTTCACTCCATCGCCTGTAGATCTAGGTTTTAGAATGTGCTGACACTTCCACTTTACTCAAATTTCCTTCATGTCTGATGCTACAGTTATGCTTTAAATGCCCCACTGCAAATACTTGTGCTATTTTCTGTTATTGACAGTTTACCCATGCACAGCATTCACCACAACCACTTCTCCCTCCCACCCATGATGTACGGTCAGGTTTAGTCCTGCAGTATTACATGCATAGGGGCAAAATGACCTTGCTGGTGTAATCCACTACCCAACATCTCCCAGAGCTACAAATGACACATCAAACTACTGTATGCAGTGTTGTAGCTATGTCAGTCCCACAATATTAGAGAGACAAGGTGGGTGAGGTAATATCTGTTACTGGACCAACTTCTGTTGGTGAGAGACACGAAGTGATCACTCTATATCTGACCTATCAATCCTCATCCTCAAAGGAAACCTGCACAACACTTCCAAAAGACTTTACTAGACACTAAAAATCGTGGACCGAATAGACACACTGGATTTATGGCTTATTACAACAATCTAAACCCACTAGCAACTCCACCCCCAGCTGCTTTCCCACCTCCCTATGATTGGAGCGGTGTTAACACACCACTTCACCTTGAATGGTCCCTTGAAGTGTGTGTTAACTACTTATGCTAAACAATCTGTTGGGTTGTGACATTCTGGTTAAGTTTCCCAGACCTGAAGATGAGCTCTCATAGAATCATAGAACATTAGGGTTGGAAGAGACCTCAGGAGGTCATCTAGTCCAACTCCCTGCTCAAAACAAGACCAACACCAACTAAATCATCCCAGCCAGGGCTTTGTCAAGCTGGGCCTTAAAAACCTTTAAGGATGGAGATTCCACCACCTCCCTAGGTAACCCATTCCAGTGCTTCACCACCCTCCTAGTGAAATAGTGTTTCCTAATATCCAACCTAGACCTCCCACAGTGCAACTTGAGACCATTGCGCCTTGTTCTGTCATCTGCCACCACTAAGAACAGCCGAGCTCCATCCTCTTTGGAACCCCCCTTCAGGAAGTTGAAGGCTGCTATCAAATTCCCCCTCACTCTTCTCTTCTGCAGACTAAACAAGCCCAGTTCCCCAGCCGCTCCTCATAAGTCATGTGCCCCAGCCCCCTGATCATTTTTGTTGCCCTCCGCTGGACTCTCTCCACAGTTTGTCCACATCCTTTCTGTAGTGGGGGGCCCAAAATTGGATGCAATACTCCAGATGCGGCTTAACCAGTGCCGAATAGAGGGGAATAATCACTTCCCTCAATTTACTGGCAATGCTCCTACTAATTCAGCCCAATATGCCGTTAGCCGCCTTGGCAACAAGGACACACTGTTGACTCATATCCAGCTTCTCATCCACTGTAATCCCAAGGTTCTTTTCTGCAGAACGGCTGCTTAGCCAGTCAGTCCCCAGCCTGTAGCAGTGCATGGGATTCTTTCGTCCTAAGTGCAGGACTCTGCACTTGTCCTTGTTGAACCTCATCAGATTTCTTTTGGCCCAATCCTCCAATTTGTCTAGGTCGCTTTGGACCCTATCCCTACCTCTCCCCCCTCTCTCCCCAGCTTAGTGTCATCTGTGAACTTGCTGAGGGTGCAATCCACCGCATCATCCAAATCATTAATAAAGATGTTGAACAAAACCGGCCCCAGGACTGACCCCTGGGGTACTCCACTTGATACCGGCTGCTAGACATCGAGCCATTGATCACTACCTGTTGAGCCCGACAATCTAGCCAGCTTTCTATCCACCTTATAGTCCATTCATCCAGCCGATACTTTTTTAACTTGCTGGCAAAAATACTGTGGGAGACTGTATCGAAAGCTTTGCTAAAGTCAAGATGTATCACGTCCACTGCTTTCCCCATACCCATAGAGCCAGTTATCTCATCACAGAAGGCAATCAGGTTGGTCAGGCATGACTTGCCCTTAGTGAATGCATGTTGACTGTTCCTGATCATCACCTTCCTCTCCTCCAAGCGCTTCAAAATGGTTTCCTTGAGGACCTGCTCCATGATTTTTTCAGAGACTGAGGTGAGGCTGACCGGACTGTAGATCCCCGAGTTCTCCTTCCCTTTTTTAAAGATGGGCACTATATTTGCCTTTTTCCAACCATCTGGGACCTCCCCCGATCGCCACAAGTTTTCAAATATAATGGCCAATGGCTCTGCAACCACATCAGCTAATTCCCTCAGCACCCTCGGATGCATTAGATCTGGACCCATGGACTTGTGCATGTCCTGCTTTTCTAAATAGTCTTTAACCTGTTCTTTCACCACTGAGGGCTGCTCACCTCCTCCTCATACTGTGTTTCCCAGGACAGCAGTGTGGGAGCTGACCTTGTCTGTGAAGACCGAGGCAAAAAAAGCACTGAGTACTTCCGCTTTTTCCAATCATCTATCACTAGATTGCCTCCCCCCATTCATTAAGGATCCCACACTTTCCCTGACCTTTTTCTTGTTGCTAACATATTTCTAGAAACCCTTCTTGTTACCCTTCACATCCCTTGCTAGCTACAACTCCAGTTGTGTTTTGGCCTTCCTGATTATACCCCTGCATGCTCAAACAATATTTTTATACTCCTCCCTAGTCATTTGTCCAAGTTTCCACTTCTTGTAAGCTTCCTTTTTGTGTTTAAGGTCACCGAAGATTTCACTGTTAAGCCAAGCTGGTCACCTGCCATATTTGCTATTCTTTCTGCACATTGGGATGGTTTGTTCCTGCACCCTCAATAAGGCTTCTTTAAAATACAGCCAGCTTTCCTGGACTCCTTCCCCCCTCATATTAGCCTCCCAGGGGATCCTGCCCATCAGTTCCCTAAGGGAGTCAAAATCTGATTTTCTGAAGTTCAGGGTCCGTATTTTGCTACTCTCCTTTCTTCCTTTTGTGAGGATCCTGAACTCAACCATCTCATGGTCACTGCTGCCCCAGGTTGCCTCCCACTTCTACTTCCTCTACCAATTCCCTGTTTGTAAGCAGCAGGTCAAGAGGAGAACGAACCCGGTTGGTTCCTCCAGTAGTTGCACCAGGAAGTTGTCCCCAACACTCTCCAAAAACTTTCTGGGTAGTCTGCACTGCTGTATTGCTCTCCCAGCAGATGTCAGGGTGATTGAAGTCCCCCATTAGAACCAGGGCCTGTGTTCTGGAAACTTCAGTTAATTGTTCAAAGAAAGCCTCATCTACCTCATCCTCCTGGTCCGGTGGTCTATAGCACACGCCCATCATGACATCACCCTTGTTGCTCTCGCTTCTAAACTTAACCCAAAGACTCTCAACAGGCTTTTCTCCAGTTTCATACTGGAGTTCTGAGCAATCATACCGCTCTCTTACATACAGTGCACTGTGTAAGCTCGAAAGCTTGTCTCTGTCCTGAACAGAAGTTGATCCAATAAAAGATATCACCTCACCCACCTTGTCTCTCTTGCATAAAACTACTGTCATTTGAAAGGAGTATCAGAAATATCAAGTGCATAAAGGTAACAGGCTCGATTGGCTATAGCCCAATGAAAAAAACAGGTCCTGAAGACCTGAAAAAGAGTTC